TGAAATAATCTTCATAACAATATGTACGTTGACATAATGCACAGACGGTCCCCTTTGCGTCCTCCTTTGCACTCAAGAATGCGTTTATTATTATATACGATTGGCCAAATACCACTCAAAAAGCAAATGTTCTTCATCTTCTTTATCCACAACAACCAGAGGCAAAGGGGAACAACAACAGCGAAAGGTGAAATTTCTTTTAACATGTCATATCGTTTCGGATCACGACCGGTGCATACAGTGGTGTAGGGAACACAACCGGCTTGCGACGTAAATAAAGTGTCCTCGGGCTGAGTTCTGCAATCAGAGAGAATCCGTCGTCGTCTAAATTTGGTCAAAGTACCAACACAACTGCACTCTTTGTCTGGAGAAGAGGTAAACAACTGTCTCTTCTGTACGTTGCCAGAATTGTGATTTGTTACGTCCCGACGATCCCAGATACCTCTTTGCCGCTCTTGAGCTGTTACTGTGTGTGGCGGATTGCGACGGTGTGTAACGGGCAGTTTCTACTTGAGACGGGTTGTTACGGCTTGTTACTGTGGGTAGTAGCTTGTGACGATCTGTTAAGGTGTGTAAAGGCCAGTTGCTACTTGTGACGGCTTGTTACGGCTTGTTACTGTGTGTACTGGCTTGTGACGTTCTGTGACGGTGTGTAACGGCCAGTTACTGCTTGTGACGGCTTGTTACGGCTTGGTACTGTGTATAGTGGCTTGTGACGATCTGTGACGTTGTGTAACGGCCAGTTACTACTTGTGACGGCTTGTTACGGCTTGTTTATGTGTGTAGTGGCTTGTGACGATCTGTGACGGTGTGTAACGGCCATTTACTGCTTGTGACGGCTTGTTACAGCTTGTTACTGTGTATAGTGGCTTGTGACGATCTGTGACGGTGTGTAACAGCCAGTTACTCCTTGTGACGGCTTGTTACGGCTTGTTACTGTGTGTACTGGCTTGTCACGATCTGTGACGGTGTGTAACGACCAGTTACTCCTTGTGACGGCTTGTTACGCCTTGTTACTGTGTGTACTATCGTCTACTTGTGACGATCTGTGACGGTGTGTAACGGTCAGTTACTACTCGTGACGGCTTGTTACGCCTTGTCACTGTGTGTACTGGTTTGTGACGATCTGTTACGGTGTGTAACGGCCCGTTACTACTCGTGACGGCTTGTTACGCCTCGTTACTGTGTGTACTGGCTTGTGACGATCTGTTACGGTGTGTGTTCTTATTATCTGTAGCTATATTGATGTACTGGCAAAGAGTTGTTTGAGTCATATTCTCATGTTATTACCTTGTCTGATTGTTCGGCTTTCTGTGTTACGTTTTACGTCAAGTAACGCGTAACTCTTTTTAGGCTGGGTTGCACGAAAATATATATCTGGCATGGTATATCTTATCAACTGATGGCCGAATGAGCGGTTAATCACTGAAAACGAAGAAGGTGATAAAATACTCACTCAACACAGGACAACACTCTAGTGCATGTGATATTAAATCGTCCCCCCGCATGTCTGTGGGTAATCGATTGATTGATTAAAAATTGATGACAGGCCATACCGTGACATGGATGACAGACTATCAATATATGACTTGTGTTACCGGCGCAATGTATATCAAGAATAAACAGACCTTTCTACAGCGGCTTATGTGAATTAGTCCATAATGATAAAAGCAAACAAAACTGCACAGTGATTGTCTCTATTAGGTAGAGAGGACTCTTACTTGACTGCGATAGACGTTGAAAATATATTCTTTCTCTCCTGGATAACGTTTTGCTGATAGGAAAGAAAATGGCAAAAATCTGTTCCCGGAAGAAATTTTTCTTATCTAGAACCGCCTAAAAATAGTTCCCTGAGAGCTCTTCATGCAATACTTTTATTCGCAATCTTTAATCAAGGTCTTTAATCACTTTTACTAAAATAGGGCTCGCATAGGGATTCTTTATTTTTTTGATAGTGCTCGGACGACAGATAGAACCAGCTCATATGATTGACTTCCGCATTCGATTTAGGATTGGAAGTGAAACAGCGCACGTAGCTTACACAAACTGACTTCTGCTCATGATACCGTGGTCTTCGCATGCCCAGATGTTTACTGACGGGTTGTGATATAAATATTTTTCCCAATATTTCAATAGCTGGTGGGGTTGGAAGGGAAAGAAAAACACAGATACTGCGAACACTTAAGACACGCTCATTATAATTTCCTTGACGCTATCACATTTCAGAGTCGCGTTGTTTCTTTCCTGTGTAGCCGTCATTAGAGTTTTACTATTCTTTTCAAAATGTGTATCTTACTTTTCTTACGTGGCGGTCGAACTGCTTACAAGACTCGAACATTTTTTTACATCTGCGTGTACGAAGTATGAGATACAAATCTTGAATTTATAACCAGAAATCAACGCACAAATCTCACTAGATGGATAGCAGTCAAGCACACCGTCTAGGGGTGAGAATAGAAACGACCTATTTTGACTTGCGTTTATCTATACGGCCTTCACGAGAGTAGATGATGAAGGGATGCAGACGTTCGTTATTGGTGCGTGATAGTGGGAGAACCTTTTTAATATCGTATGGAACAATAAGTCTAAGAAGGTGAGGTGATTAGTCTGCAAGTCGGCGGACTGTGTAGTGTATGCCAGGATATAAGAAAGACTATTATAGGATAGGAATGAGAAGAAGAGAGTATGGAGTCGGAGAGTTAAGGACTGCGGTGTAATCCGGTTTAATCCGTTGTTTAGATACGCATATTAAACTCTACAATTGGCGACGAGGATAAACAGGAAATTTTCAGACATATGCAGAACAAATATGGCCGTGAACATCGAATTTGGAAATATACAACCTTTCGATTGCACAGGCCATCCGACAAGCGTGGGACCTCGTTGGAGACGATGGAAACGTTCTTTTGAGTTTTTTCTCGAGGCAAAGGGTATCACAAAAGACACACAAAAACAAGCCTTACTTTTGCATTGCGCTGGACAGGATGTTCAGGACATTTTTGTTACGCTGAGTGACTCTGGACCAACCCCAGAAGAAGAAACGCAGTATGCGAAAGCTATGAGACTACTGGACGCACATTTTTTGCCACAGGTTAACATCCCATTTGAACGACATCAGTTCCGTCAAGCAAAACAGGAAGAGTCCGAGACAACAGACCAGTTTGTGACCAGATTGTTCCAGCTTAGCGAGAATTGCGACTTCGGAACATCCAAGGAAGAACAAATACGCGATCAGTTAATTGATAAATGTCGGTCCCATGATCTTCGCAAGAAACTACTCGCTGTCAGTGGTAAACTCACACTTCAGAAGGCTAGAGATGTTGCTAGATCCATGGAAGCTGCNTGAAAATGAAAAAGCATTTCAAGGTCAGCATATCTTTCAACAAAATCTGCTGAACATTAATGGCCAAAAACTGGACTGGTAAATCCTTAGGTCCGTGAAAACAGTTGAGAAGCACGAACTCTATAACTCTTTCTAAAATTACATAGACTAATTCTTCCGTTTCATGTCTGGCATCTATCAGTTGGAAGGTGGCCCGCCCAGATTAACAGTCCTTACGAATCACTATTCTCAATTTTTAACACTATCAATTGAATGAAATGATGGCCGGAAACTGAGAAAAGTTATAAGCTGTAAAATTTTTGTCAAAGGTTTTATTTTTTCAATAGATACTCAGAAACGGTTGCCAAGGTTTGCTCAGACCTAAGGTAAGTAAATGAACTGCTTTTAAAAGAAAATTTGGAAATTTTTCGCGAGCAGACTACAGTTGTTAATGACTGGAAATTGGGGGAGGGGGGAGGGAGGGAAAGAATTTTTGGCGATCACATGGTTTTCAGGGGAAACGGAGGGGGAATCATTCTTCAAAAATTTACTGTCAATTGACAGCGAAGGAGGGGGAGGGGCTTAGGATATTACACAGTATCACAACACAACCAAAATCCTCTTCCTCCCCCTCCCCCCTCCCAATCCGGGCTATTGATAATGACCGGTCTCTTAGTTCCTCTTTTAGAGGAACTAAGACCTTCTGGTCTCTCCAGAAGGTTTTGAAATAAAAGAAAAAAGATCGTAATTTTTTTTTTCAGATTAGTTATGAAATAGAGAAGGATGTTTCTTTTTCGCCGTGAGCGTGGGACAAATAGAAAATGTCTCAGTCTTCTTGGGGAATATATTACCAGCATACACGCGTCCTGCATACATCTTTGTCTACCTCATAACCTGGCTGAACAATTCATCATACTTCTCTTTCTATTGATGGTTCCCATGCTTTTTTGGACATTGCTGAACCTAGCTGTATTTAGGACGCATATCATGTGTGAATCCGATATTGGCCATTACCTATCATAGAGTACCGATGGCTCAGTTATATCAATCGTATCTTCCTCCACGCTTTGTTTAAATTATTCATGCTTGTTTTAGAATCTTTCCCTTCGAAAGGGCAAGCGAATCCTTGTCGGGACAAAAAACAAAATATAAATGGAGTTGGTAATGCAAGTCAGCATAATTCCTTCAAAAGAAGCGCTGTTGGTCAAACACTTCCAAGCCGTGTGTTTACGTCCAAGTAGTGTCGCAGTGGTGTATAACAATAAGGATTTACAAGTTATGGTAGTTGTATAGACTGCACTGCGTAGTGCACTCGACTTTGGCTTTCGAAAACGGTGCAAATTTTATCTACTGGTTGACTTCAATAACTTTTTTGGACTCAGTGAATGTGGTATACTTTTTGTTCGTTCCTATCCCATGGGAATTTTTTTTATTGTTTTGATCCAAGCGAATTGCGTTTACCTAAATGGGTAAAATGGAGAACTTGTGAGCTTGAGACAATGTAAGTTTTTTTCGTACTCTTACCTACGTGCAATGAGTCCGAGGGCAACGTGATTATACCAGCTTCAGTCGAGA